GCATAGAAAAGTGTTCATGAGGGGCGATATCGACTTTTTTCATCGCTCTGACACTCATGTCAAAACGGACAAGCAGGATAACTCGTCTGTCTGGCGCGACGTCGCTCACCACGCTCACTAGCACGACATATTACGATTGTCTTGTCACATATCCGGTGGAAAGTATTGATATTACAGAGAAGTAACTTTAGGTGCAAGCTTACACGTTCCATAAGCTGGTGATTGCCTACGGTCGGGAACGTGATCAGCAATTGATCGTGTCCTTCAGACCGCGAAATGCTTCGAATGATCGATTTAATCTGAACTTTGGGCAGGTGCGGAGTTTTTTCTGATCATATGCATAATTCTTCCACTCTTCTCTTTTTTCTAAGAAAGGTCGTCCTTGAGAAATGTCAATTTGGTCACTTCACTTTGGTTATTTAGACACTTCCGATTTCCATCTATGATTCTACTGAAGTCAATTTGCAAGAAGCAACTCGATGGAATGCGCATTGCATGATGGCAACCATTTTGAAAGACAAGTAAGTTTTATAGAAAGTTGCACAATCAACGTTTCTTTTACTTTTTTCGGCATAAGAAGTGACTTGGAGGCGCGTTTTGTCAGTGCGACACTTTCTGTAGCCGGGAGTTCTTGAAAAATAAGACCCCGAATTTATTCCTTGGACACAACCCCTTCCTTTCCTATCTACCATCTTCCTAGGTCTTTCCAACTTCGTGCCACTTTCGCCAGTTTCCCAAAAAATAGCACATGTGAAACGGTAAAAATTGCGAAAACTCAACCGAATTTTTTTCGCGCATGGTAAAAACTTTCTTAATTTTAAATTCTCAAGACGAGCGACTACGACTCCTCGCTTTTGGAATCTCCCCATTGATGTGAATAATGCTCGTGGAACAGGAAAAATCAACTATCAGTATTTTTTCTCCACAAACACGACCTCTTCTTCCTTCTTTCCCGACCAATTACGGAGCGATTTTGTAGCTGATTAAGGAAAGCACTGGAAGGAGGGGGGAAGTGACGGGATGTAACTTTAAAGCTTCATTCCGCTCGAAAATACGAGATTCGGAAGAGCGACGAAGCTCACTTCTTAGAAGCTGCCCTAACGGTTTGTAGGAGATGTGTGCCTTTTCGATAGCTAGATAATCTACCCACATCCTGCTTTCTTTGTGGCGGGGTTGGCAGTGACCTATTCAGTTTGAATAGTCTGAATTCAGGGATTTTTCACCAACTGTCATCTTTGATAATTACCTCCGCAAAATGTTTTTTTTATTCAGTGAAATATATGTGTTTCATTCAGTTGACATATTGTTTGTGTAATGCTGTAAAGCATGAAAATTAAGGTTCAACGCGAAATCAGATCTAACGGAACTTGTACACTACTTGGTCACGACTAGTGATCCACTGCAGTCGTTGTCGTTCTTCAGTCGAATACGATTCCAGTCTTGTAAAGTTCTGGCCCAGTTGTTCAATAATGATATACCGTATCCGCTCACATTGAAGGTTAGTGATTTCACATATTTGTCTAACATGTAGTATAAAGGTAGAATCATAGAAGTTAGTATAAAAGTAGAGCATGGAAGCGTCAAGTAAGATGGAACTTTTTATCTTCTTGGGAGATGTTCTCTTGCTTAACGGGCAAGTATAACTGTAATGGCGCATGCTTAAGATGTGCTAGCACTCTCTATTGAACTAAGAAATTCCGACATGTTTTATATTCTGGAGCAGTTTTACTTCTTTGACCCAAAACTATTTTAATTTATTACCCGCTAGGTACCTTTAGTGGGATCTGCAAGCAAACTGCTACTCAGAATGGCTAGAATTTTGTTCGGGGTTGTGTTTAGCCGCGTTCATAGCTTGCGACCATTAAGAAATGCAGAAATGCGGAAACTGCAGAAGTGCGGAAAGTGCTGGAATCTGCAGAAATGACGAAAAGCAATAGATACATATCTACAAGAAGGCCGCGTTCATAGCTTGCGACCAATGCAGAAATACCGAAACTGCAGAAGTGCGAAATCTGCAGAAATGAAGAAGTGAAGGAATGCAGAAATGCGGAAACTGCAGAAATGCGAAACTGCAGAAGTGGCGGAATCTGCAGAAATGACGAAAAGCAACCGATACGTATCGATTTTCCGCACTTTCTGCATTTCTGCAGATTCCGCACTTCTTCACTTTCGGCATTTCTGCATTTCTTCAGATCGATACGTATCTATTGCTTTTCGTCATTTCTGCAGATTCAGCACTCGCACTTCTGCAGTTTCCGCATTTTTTTTTTTTTTTTTTTTTTTTTTTTTTTTTTTTTTTTTTTTTTTTTTTTTTTTTTTTTTTTTTTTTTTTTTTTTTTTTTTTTTTTTTTTTTTTTTTTTTTTTTTTTTTTTTTTTTTTTATGGTCGCAAGCTATGAACGCGGCTAAACACAACCCCGAACAAAATTCTAGCCATTCTGAGCAGCAGTTTGCTTGCAGATCCCACTAAGGTACCTAGCGGGTAATAAATTAAAATAGTTTTGGGTCAAAGAAGTAAAACTGCTCGAGAATATAAAACATGTCGGAATTTCTTAGTTCAATAGAGAGTGCTAGCACATCTTAAAGACAGCGCCCGCGATGGACTTTGGCAGGTCTCAGGGGTCAAATTTGTTAGAACAGGTGGCCAATGAAGCACTAATCAAAAAAAGTAGGAAAAAGGTGTGGAAGAGCGTGAAATAAGACCCTACGAAATTTAAGGCATGTGGACGAGTTTCGCAGACCTTTGGTGAGTTCTCCAATACACGTCGCGGCTCGGAACTTCAGAAACTTAGCGTTTATCAATGCCAGCAAGCACTGATAACTGTTAACCAGTCGGGGCGGGATTAACAGGAAAGGAGGCGTCAGCTCAGCCTTGTTGACTCCGCCCTCGTCAATCAATACATTTCGAGCCGCAAGAGTGGATATCCGCTATGGTTGCGAACTCCGCGTTCGTTTTCATTGGAGGGTTT